CCTTACTGTTCATAATCTTTACAAACTTCGTACTATAACTGAACTTTTTAAAATAGTGAAATATAGGGTACCCATATCTCTCTACTCTTTACTTAACATGTCTGAACTGAGGGATGACCGTCTAATACCACCAAAGCCAAGCCATAACTTTATTTATAAATCTTCTTGGCTTTGGAATCAATTCAAGGACTCCAATCCACAGAATAAACCTGACTTTGTGAACACATCCTGTAACTCAATCAAATCAAGGCTAAACCGATCTCTTCTAGATGCCCAAAGCAGGTTCGATAATGAGTGGCATAATGACAACTTTAACAGTTTTGGACCATGCTAGATTATTGATAAAAACGTGGAATTTATGTAAACAAATACTTAATTACTTAAATATTGCCGTTTCCGTACGGCGCTATACGTAATATATGTTAAAAGCGCGCCGCAGCTACTCCCTACCTCAACATTTGCGCGGGTTTCTTAAGCGCGCACGTACGTTTATTCTTGGCCGTTAATCAGACCCATGACATAACGCTATAGGTGGCAGTGACTGTAATTTTCTTCAACAATTACTGAATTATCCATCCATAAAGTGATTTACAAAATGACACCTAAACCTCGTGTTTCGGTGTTCACTTAAACGGTACTTGGCGGCTGAACTGTGGTGTCTGACGTTTGCAGCTAGATCGGACTCTGCATGATATTGTATTAGCAAATTTGTATAGTGTATAATTGTTTAGTGTTTATAATACTCTGCAACCTGGTAGCACGGCTGACACAAAAACAAAATGTTGGCCTGGCTTGTGCATAACCAAGTAAATAACACGCACTCCGATAAAAGCCGTCTGGAGAAACTCCGCAAAATGTTCATTGTAGTCAACGGGCACAAAGAAGCACTACTAGCAATTGTGTCCTTTACCCTCCTACATAATTTGAACATTTTTGTGGCTAACTCATTGAACAACATCTGAATTAAAATGTGTCTAGTATTAAAAGATTCAGTAAGTAATTTTTTCATGTACGCTGTACACTGTAGTTAGTAAATCAAATCAAACTTTTTCGATCAGCCGCGCGCTGAACCAGTGTTGCACTAGGTAAAAATTGTGTATATTTTGTTCATTTTTGAGTGTAAATTAATTTATTAATTTATCACAAATTATTTTATTATAATATAACCACTTATGTGAAATGGTTATTTTGACTTTAAATATTTGAACTAAATATGAATTGATTGTGGGTATAAAATAAAATTTGTTTTACTAAAAATTTGTTTTTACTGACAGATCTGAGATGTGTTCAGTTGGGGCCGAGTCATCTATGGAGGCGCTATCAGACAGCTGTTTATAGGGGTGAATTGTTGTTTGCGTGTCCATATCTTTTCTCATTATAGTTGTGTACTCCCCATCTTTTTTGGTCAACTCTGCGATTTTAGCTTTAACTTTTACGGTGGCTAGATCCATAATGTGGTTTAGTAGGCTTGGAGAGTCACATGAATTACAAAGCCAATGCAAATTCTCAATTTTGCATATATTTCTATATGTGGAGTCTGCCATTGGCTTCTTTCTAGTTTCACCAGATCTTTTTGTTGTTGTTGTTGTTGTTTGTGAATCATAACATTTGTAATGTACTTTCAGTTCACAGTATCCGCATGTGAGCAACTCCTGTTTGCATTCATTCTGGCAATGGCAGCATATCATCCCAGAGTCCTCTTGGATAACATGCAAGTCTTTCTTTAATATGGACGGAACAAGTGAAAAGTCTGATTCAAGATCGATCTGAAATGTGCTCAGTGTGCTCACAGATGTAGGACTTTTCGTTAGGAGTTGCTGATTTCCCACTTTGTTATTGGGTCCTGATTTTTGATTTGCAGAGTTATGTAAGGATATTTTGAGACGTGGCTTTAAATGGGTATCATGAGGTGGTGATTGCATCTTTGTGAATAGAGTCTTGACTTGAGAGACATACTCTTTGTTCTCGGCAAACTTGATACAGGACCAGGAACAATCCAAGGGAGTTTTCATAGAAAATGCAAAGAGTGCATAGTCAAAGTTACTAGTTGCTCCAAACTGCTGTTTGAATTCTATACCAGACTTGAATTTGGTTGCCAGCCAGGTGTAGGGGTAAGAAAGTGCTCTTACTTTTGTTTCAACAATGTTTTCAAGTCGTTCTTGGGCAACTGCAATCATCTGTGGGAGTGTTAAGGCCCACCATGGGACATCTGCTACATCGTGTAGTTTTTCTCCTATGTGCATCTGGTATAGCACTTTCTTTTTGTCTTCAAAGCTTAATGTTTTGCCAGAGTATGCAAGAACAATATCTTTAGGCAGGGAAATTTGGTGAGCAGTATCTGAAAGTTCAACAAAGGAGCAAAGAAAGTTTGATTGCCCATCAAAGCAAAATAAAACTTCTAAACTTGGACTCAATAGTTGAAGCTGTTTGTATATGTGACTTGTTTTTATACAGTTTGTGAGCATCTTTTTGTTTGAGGCTGACAAAACAACTGAGTCTGTAGTCTCTAATAGATTACAGTACAAACTTTCGAGTTGGTTGTTTTTTGCAGTGTCAACTGTTGCAATTGACACAACCTTTGGTTTGTTAGGTTTCAGTTTAATAGACATCTTTGTGTGCCGTCACAAGAAACCAAACCAAGTAGAATTGTTACAGCTCAGAGCTTTTGTAAAACTAGCTTTAACTGTCACAATTCTATGTTAACTGACTTGATTAATGTCTAGTCAGAGTAATGGGGTGTTAAGCTTTATTGAACTGGCTTAACTTTCCAGAAAGAGCTTTAAAAACGAGCTCTTGAAACAGGCAACACTTGGCTAAACTTTACTATAACTAGTTTTGCTAAGTGATTGTCCTTGTTAATGTCCAAAACACAGCAAACAAATAACTGGTTTTCCTGTTGTTGATTTGAGTAGAATATTAATGTCTATACACTGTTCGTTTTCAAACTGAATTCCAAATGTTTCCGAACTGATTAACAGTTTACAGTTTACAGTACCCAGTAGTAGAAAGTAGCTATTTTGTTCTCTTTGGACGTAGTCTGATTGTCTTTGCAGCCTTTGCTTTGCGCTTCGTTTAGAGATCGATTTCCCAACACCTGAAAGGATATGGGCACCAGAAAAGTGTGATAGGGATTGCCAGCAGTGCTGACAAAAGAGCTTTTCTGAGTTTAAATAAATGACAATGAAACTCTTAATCTCAGCTGTGAAACTCACCGTTTAGGTATGAGTCGGGGTGGTTGCTGAGATGAGTGAGTGAGGAACAAGAAAACTATTGTGTATTCTGCCAAACTTTAGTCATGCAACATACAACAATCTGCAATTGTTGTTACATTCTATTGAGGTGTGATGTCCCACTAGGGGTCCTCAATAAATGTAATAGATTTGTAGTGTTGTAATTAGTTTAAATTAGTTCTCATGGAGAAGGAGACAATGAACCACTTTATTGGCCAGTGCAGTAGCGTAACGTTGCCTGTTGGCGCCCCCCCCCCCCCCCCCCCCCCCCCCCGCCGAAAAGGCGCCCCCCTGTTGGCGCCCCCTCCCCTTTTGGTGCCCCTCCCTAAAATTGAACAAATTAGGTGATTTTAGAGGATACACCGGTAAAATCTCTAAAAAAGTGTGTATCTAGAGCAAAACGCGCAGTTTTGCTAGTACTTTAGTTAAGTTTTCGAAATTGTCCCACATTCAAACGACGATTTGGCGCCCCCCTAAGACGGCGCCCCACTGCACAGCGGGGTCAGCGGGGCCCTTCGTTACGCCACTGGGCCAGTGCCCGAAATGGTCTTACCAACGAGGAGGATACTTTGACTCATTTTATTTTAGCGTGACAGACATAGTGGACAAATTCTCACTACCAAGGATCATCGGCTTCATACAAGAAACTAAACGATTTACTAAATGCAAAGAAAACAAAATCTAAACTTTTTTTTTCTTGATTTATTAATTTTACCGGGGTAAGCACAGGGCTCCAATGCTCTATCTTACAGTGGTCACGATCTTACCATTAGTGATATAGAGCACCTATTTTGGTCAGACAACCACTGAAGTGAGACAACGTTTTAATGGGCACAGGAGTAAATTTAAATTAGATGCTGATAAGTCTTATACTAAATCAGCTTTATCGCAGCATTGCTTTAATGAACACCCGGAGTCCATGAGTCTTATTAATTTTAAAGTTGCATTTGTCAAGAAATGTCCAGCAATAGAACTTGATAGAGAAGAGCATCGATTAATTTCTATATTCAGAACTAATATTTTGGGGATTAATAGAATAAAAGTTATAAGATGATAAGTTTAGTTATTTTTGTTGTGTAATTTATTTGCCTTCCGTAATTTTTGTCAGTATTTATGTTTTATTATGATTGGTGTCCCGTTAAATTTTATTTAAATTAAAATAAAAGATTTTTTTTTTTTTTCCATACATACAAAAATTTTTTGGGATTCTTGTTTTTAAGTCTGTTTTGTTTCTACCTATATATGAGCCTAACTTATTTCTATTCAGGAGGTTCTCTCAAGATGATTTTTAATTCGAAGATTTCAAGAGCCTAAACTGTGTATGATTCGCCTCTCCAAACAAATCAAAAATTAGTGATATTGACCACAGCCCCCTACGAAGAAGAAGAAGAAGGTCACAGCAGTGGCGTAACAAAGGACCCCGCTGTGCGGGGTCCATCTTAGGGAGGCACCAAATCGTCGTTTGAATGTGTGACAGTTTGGAAAAGCTTAACTGCACGTTTTGCTCTAGAAACACACTTTTTTAGAGATTTTACTGGTGTATCAAATTTCAAGTATTCTGATATTGCAGCAGGTTATATTATAATTCTTGGAACTCCCCTGTAGCTGTGGCGCCTTACTGGAGCCTGACCGATGCCCAACTAGCGCTCTACCGATAATGGTATCCACTTAAACTGCCATAGTTTCATGGTATCAATGATTGTATTCGTCAACTAGTTTTAGATGTTTGGCCATATAACTAAAGTCTAAAACCCAAGTTTATATTCACAGCTACATGATATGATGTTACTACCAATTTTGGCTGCATATTGCTGTCAATCCTTGGTAGATGGCACTACTATTTCTGCTCTTAAGGATATGAACTCAGGTCAGTAAAAATAATTGTAAAGCAAATGCTTTGATTTGATTTATGGTATTTCAAATCTATTGATTGAGAGCAAGAATGAAAATCTATTTTAATTTCTTACATTTTGAAAGTACTAAATATTTATAATATTTCAGAGTGGACAACTGTGGTTTCAGCTGGTCATCTTGTTGAAGCATTCAGCACAATGGGACAACTACATATTCTAGACCCAGCTGCAGCAGGTGCTGAAAAGTACTACCACATCAACTTACACTTGTACAGTGCTGTAAGAGGAGTGGATCTGGAAGAGTTGAACATACAGATGGACTATTTGGAAAAGGATGGATATGTCAGGTGGACATTGGATGCAGGTAATTGGAAGCTCACGATCAACTCTTGTGAAAAAGACTTTGACGTTGATCCTACTGCTTCAGATGATGATGAATATCACTGGAGTATATTAATGACAGACCAGAGGTTCTACTTGAAGTGCAACGGTGTTGTCGTCGCAACTGTTGTCAACAGTGAGAGCTGTTATCATAAGACTGGGAAAGGAAAACTCGGTATTGGAGGATGGGAGCTCACCAACATGGTCAATCTTAAAACTCGCTTTGAGAATATTAGTAAGTTCCTGAGATCTTCATATCTAACTGCTTCATGCATGATTCATTCTATGTGACTAGGAAACCTACAGCTTACATTTGAATACTACAAACTTATAATTAGAAATTTTAAAATAATTGATTTTTTGGGTCAAAATTTGGCAGCTGTAGTCAGAGTCTGATACATATGATCTGCAGATTCTCATGTTGACTGCACTGTATGGTATGCAGGCATTATTCTGTTTCCTGCAATATAATATCAATAATCAATTTTACCATCTTCAGAGAACATAGGTTCGTGCTCAATGCCGAGTTACCGTTACAACAAAAGAGGTTTGATAGGGGTAAAGAAGTTGACCACTGGTGAGGATTGTCGATACGATTGTCAACACACATCGGACTGCAAAAAGGCTACAGTTGACATAGCGGAGAATGCTTGCAAACTTTACTCTAGTTTTGGAGGTGAAAACCTTGACTATCACAATTAATTCGGAGTTACCTACTTTGCCTTGTGGAAAAATAAACGATTCCACCTTTTGATGACATTCAATTCAGTTCCTATTGTAATCCAGCACAACAATATCGTGCGAAAACTAATGGGCCGTGCCACAGCCAACATGATGTGAATCCTCTTATTAATATTTGCAGGACAAGCAAGGTATGTCAATCAACAAGAGACTGACAGTCAATCTCGATACCTCAACTATCTTTTCGGCACATCCATCTCATTTGAACTGGACTGCTTCGAATATAAGGGTTTGGACTCTCAAAACTGGTCTTAAATCATGTGTTAAAATGTTTTCCTTTTTTGCTCTGATGTGATATATGACAATTATCATTAAATGCTTAAATATTATTATTAATATTAATATTAAAGCTGTTCTCCTGTCAATCAGACGACCCATGTTGGAGAAACGATGTGCGATTCGAATTGGGATCCGAGTAAGATTATTATTTGATTTATTTTGTTGTTTAGATGTTAAAAATAAAAATAGTTTAAATTTCTCATTACCCTGAGAACATTCACCATGAATCATATAAGCATGATAAAACATTTTGAGCTGACTTTATAAAACCTCAGAGAAACAACTATAAAATCAATAAAGAGTTGTCTGGATGATGAGTACGAGAACGAGGAAACTGCTATGTGGAATCCAGTGACAGGAATGTGTTCAGCTGTTCATGACAAATATGTCAAGATCGCCGAAATTCCATCACCTGGCTTCAGTGTGGTGTACAGCCAGTGCAAAGAATGTACGTATAAAACTGATTTGATGTTAAAAATATGTTGGGAAAAAGTATGTAAGTTCCCTCAAAAGTTTACACTTGTACATGTATTACTGTATTCAAACATTAGTGTTTGTAATTTATATTAAAATTTCACTAACAATTACAATTGGTCATGGTGCACACTACTTTTCCTTTTCTTTTTCATCTTCGTTGTATGTTTATTCCTATTACAGTGAAAGAAGCAACTGATTACGAAAGCTGCTTTGAATATGGAGTAATCTTGGAGGGAAATGTTTTGCTCGAAACGACATACAAGTTCCCTTACGATTGCAAAGGTAGACTTATATTATATCATTCATTTTTAAATTTATTATTATTTACCGATCTTTTTTGCTCTGTTTCGAGCGAAGACTTCACCATTATTATTTTTAAAACCTCAAACTAATCAATTAACTACTAACAAAGGAATGTTAAATGAAATTCTCGCTAATTAACTTAATATTTATAAAGGAATGTAAAGAGAAATTCTCGCTAATTAATTAATTACTTACAGAGGAGTGTGAGGCTAATGAGGCATGTAGTGGTTGGAGCTCCATAACAGAGATAAGAAGGTGTTATCTGTACACAGGAGCAGTTTATCGGGCTAGCTACCCAAGAGCTGTGTCAGGAACTTACAATTGTGGCACTGGTACGTGAGAGACTGAGAAACTGAAACTGAAAGTGTTTGTTTTAGTTTTACTGGTTAATTAAGGGTCTTGGGCCACTCTGTTTAAGCGAGAGTTGGTTCGTAAATTTTTCTTGACGCATGATCTCTAAAAAAACAAGAGGGTCTATACCTCGTTTTAAAACTAACTAGTAAAGAGGAGATAAATACTGACATTACAAACCACATATCTAGCCCCAGTACCTGCACCACCTGGGCGGGTTAGTGTAATGTGGTAAACTGGTTACAGCAGGTTTTAGCGAAGTGATCTTTTAGAATATTCTAGTTTAGTGTAGAATAGCCGTTGGATTTAGTGTAAGATTAGGTAAGGTTAGAGGAAATAAAGATTGACATTACAAACCACAGATCTAGCCCCAGTACCTGCACCACCTGGTCGGATAGTGTACCCGGTCAGTACCAACTTCGACCTCCTCTCAATCACTTCCCCCGGTCCCCTCAATCTACTTATCAACAATGATGATCTTCAGAGAACTGTACATGTTTACCAGGATGGTGTTCATAAGTTCAAGTTTGATATGTTTTCGAGGAAACAGAGCAGTGGATTTGATTTCAGGTTGGATATTAGCTGTTATGTTTCTCTATTTGAGTATTTGATGCAATGGGAACTCTTCAGGGGTGTAGGAATGATTTTCTTCATGGGGGGGCCAAATTCTAAATATTTTTTGGCGCTTCGCGCCAAAGCCAGAATCTAGGTAAGGACTTCAAAAACCGAAAAAAATATTTTTGGCTCATAATGATCAGGGTAGCATGAAACATGAACAAAAGTAGTTTCCAAGAAAACTTTGAAAATTTTTGACTTTGAAAATTTTCGGTCCGAGTCATTCTCGATACGTACCTCTGAAAGCAAAGCTCCCGTTTCCGAGCTCGTATTGCGAAAGGGAGGCCTGCCTTCCGAGATCACATTACAAAGGGGGACCCTCGAGTCCAAAATCTTATATCGAACTTCGAAAAACGAAAAAATATTTTTGGCTCATAATGATCAGGGTAGCATGAAACATGAACAAAAGTAGTTTCCAAGAAAACTTTGAAAATTTTTGACTTTGAAAATTTTCGGTCCGAGTCATTCTCGATACATACCTCTGAAAGCAGAGCTCCCGCTTCCGAGCTCGTATTGCAAAGGGGAGGCCTGCCTTCCGAGATCACATTACAAAGGGGGACCCTCGAGTCCAAAATCTTATATCGAAATTTTTGACTTAGAAAATTTTTGACTTAAAAAATTTTCGGGAAAAACTGTTTAGAAACCTAAATAAAAAAGTTGGCCCTTTTTGGCCCCTTGCCCAGATTTCATGGGGGGGGCGATGGCCCCCCCTGCCCCCCCGCTTCCTACACCCCTGGAACTCTTATTTTTTAGGGCTGATTTTACAGTTTCATAATATCATCATCAGCTCACCTAACTTTCCCTTATGACGATAAATAGAAATAAATTCCTTGTCGGTCTTGAAGAAAATTATCTTAATTGCTTTAGTTCTTATATTTATAAGAACTAAAGGGTAATATTGTGACGGGTAAAAATAATAGCGGGTAAAAATATGGCGGAATTCCGAAAATTATTATACAATATTATATGAATTACCCTGGCGGAATTTCCGAAAAACCTCCAAATTTAACCCGCCATAATTTAACGAGCTAAGGTAGTTAACTTATTGGTTTCTAAAACTAATAGAATTAAGGGGGCCGGGTCTTCATGGGCATTTTCCCAAAATCGACTTGTTCTAGTTGTTTCTGATAGAGGGGAGTTTAAATATCTATCAGATGCTTTTAATCCCATGGAAAAAATGTTGTTCCTAGCCGAAATTCTAGGGACTACGGGTGGAAGATGAATAATTGATATTCCAACAGCATCTTGTTCCCTGCATTGTGCTGATTCCGGGAAGCATTTTGTTTACGCTCTCATCATTCTGTAGGATGAGATATCGTTCATTTAAAATTGGGTAATTATAGGCCTGTCAAGGATTTCAGCCTAATTAAGAGCTGATCAATTGCAGCTAGTTGTGCCATATAAGGGATAACTGAGGTCACGTGACATTCAGTCCTATCACGTGACCGCTAATCCTATCACGTGACCTTGATTCGTAAAGCCTCGGGCACGTGATCACATTCGTAACGTGTCGTATGCCGACTAGGAGATTTTGTGACGTCACCAGAGCTGAAGCTACTTGATCAGGCCTTATATGGAATAATATCGTGTATCGGGTGTAATTGGACCCAATTAGAGCAGCTGAGCGCTCAATTATAGCAGCTTCTGGTACCACCTTCTGAAACCCAGCAGACAGCTGGCCCAGAGAATCGAAATTAGAAGGATTTTTTCCTTTTCACCCTTTTGAAAAAAGGCAATAGTGAAAGGTTACGAATGGACGTTTTTGCAGAGAAACGTGGATTTTGGAGATTGCAGTAGGTGGGTCTGAATATGTCGTCAGTCCTTCCTTACTTCCGTTAGTAACCATGCAACGAAAAAGTTGCGCGCGCGAGGATTGCTTGCGGAGATGTGATGTATAGATAGCCTGTGATCTATGAATGCGCGGCGCAACTGTGTTTTAATGTATACGATGTAATTTATAATATTAGGTTATAATAATAAATATAAGCCCAATTTGTACGTGGCACGCGTAGTGTATTGATTTGTACACGAGTATAGTTACCTTTGCTTACAATTTAAGTTCTTTGCTTTACAAGTTAAGTTCTTTGGCAATTGAACTGAATTTCAAGTGTTTCCTGTACTTAATGCATAATTTATCAATATTATTATCATGAAGACTGAAGTGAGCTGATTGGAGCTTATACTTAAATTTATAGTAAATGTGAAATGGAAATCTAGCGTCCGCCAAAACGAAACAACGGGCGCTATTCTTGTTTATTGATGGAAATCGAAGCGGAAACCTTGTAACCCTATGTTTTCGATGACGCCGAACAAGATTAAACAGGTTATAATTGTCCTACTCTCGTGTAAATTGCTCTAAAACGTGATTGAAATTGTAATGATGCTATCAATTGTAATACAGTTTTTACATTAAGCTGAGCGACGTAACGGCTGGCATTCCTGGGCCGCACTCATCCCAGATTGTCATTCCGCCGCAGCTTCAATTTATCTGGATATTACAGCCTGGGGTCCCCAGGTAACGACTGGAACCGCTATATCTGCCTAATCTCAGCTATTGTAAATAACGAAGCCTGTGATCCGCACATCAGGTATTGACCACATTGAACGGGCTTGAATCGAACAAGCCGTGTTATTAATATTAAAGATATTAATACCAAAAATCGTATTACTAGATTACCTTCTTGTCATTTGTGCGAAGTGCGTACTCTTTATACTGCAGTTTGAAGTGCATTACAGAGTTAATGTTATGTGTATTATACAGTTACAGTTATGTAACTGTTGCACACAGTAAAACTTACTGCGATCGCGCTGATAAGAAGTGAACTGATAAGAGTCGAGTAAAATTGCAACGTAACTAAAATCAATGTAACACCGCTATATGAATAGTGATCATTTCTCAAATAGTTTTCTCAATATTGCAATGAAGTTGTCCGATTTTATTGATGGAACGTGTGACAGCCTTCCATGTCACAGTCCTCCGTCAAACAAGGACATCCTTCGTTTTCTTTTGAGCCACAAGGAAAACCATGCGACTCATGTCGATTTAATGCTGGCCGAGGTTTCAAGTTTGATATTAAGTCATTACAGTACCATCGAAATGTACAGGCAAACGGACTTCTTTCAGCCTTGCAATATTGTCAAGTGAGTGCTAGTGTTTTTTAGGTATTTACCCTACAGCACAGGTTGTTCACGATACATCAGTCCGGTTTCAAACATATATTTTCTGCTGGGGGAAAATAAGAGAAATATAGCCGATCGATCTTTCATAAATTAATCTACAGATGTTTGAAACCAAACCAATGACCAATGTTTCATGAACAATCTGTAGTTGTACTGTATGCATATTTATATTAGGCACTTAGTTTCTCTTATATTAATGTAATTTAGAAACTTTCTATATTTAATTGAGCAAAGACTGCACTTCATGCTGGCCAGAGCAATATTTCACACGAGACTGCAGTATATTGCCGATCCAGCCACGTCGACGATGATCCCGTCAGTGATCTCATGATATTCATCTAGCAATGACAGCCCTTTTAGTTCTGGCAACAAGGTAAGAAAAATCGTTTTCATTTTATTTTGAAATGACAATATTAATGTAATTATAATTCAGGAAGATCAAGGGCCTCTACGACAAATTGAAAAAGCGCATGAACCGGACAATACGCCCGAATGGAAAACCGCGGATATTTTGCAAGCCAGAGATTAACAGAAATGCAAAATCGTACCTTGACCTTGTCATTTACAACACTGACATCGAGGATAAAGATCCGGTGAGAAAGACTAAGTCTTTCAAACCGTACCATTTATTTGGTCTCTGTTACAAAACTGCGTGCAGTAAGTTCATTTCAAATTGTATTTACTATGACGTAACTATTAATATTATATTATTGTATTAATAAAGTGATTGACATACGTTTGTATTCAAAGCTATAAGGTCAAAGTGAAAACAATACGGATGGTATTGAATTTAAAAAGGAAAGTTTATGATAACAAGTTATATTTTAGAAGAGCTGAAGTGGGCTGCAGTCACTATTCCATCGGTAGTAAGGGTGCATCCCTCTGATCCTGATCAATTCGACAGGTTCATAGAATCACCTTTGGTGACGAAATATCCCTGCCACCAGCAAGCAGTCGAAAGAGCGGTGGCACTGATGACAGAATCAAAGCTGAAGTGTGCTAACAAAGACATGAAAGCAGGACACCACATTGTTGTCTCTGAGGAGAGGCAACAAAATCCAGGAAAACAGAGGAAGTTCAAAAAACTAATGAAATGATTTATTAAAAGAGAACACTCGTTATATAATATTTTGTATGATGTTTCACAATATTGAGTTTATTCCCGAAAATTTCGAGACTACTTCTTTAAAATTAGCTTTCTCTGGATGATATGCAGACTGCAGCGAAGAAATAGCAAACAGTCATAAATATGTTAGTGATTCCATCGCTATACTTCGTCCACACACTGAACTTAGCAATCTTGATTATGAGTATTAAACAATGCAATATATATATAAATAGATTTTAATTGATGACATTCAAGTGCATTTTGAAAAAATTTACCCGATACTATGATATTTTTTATAGTAATAACACGACGTTCAATTCAAGCCCATTCAATGACTGATGTGCGGATCACAGGCTTCGTTATTGACAATAACTGAGATTAGGCAGATATAGTGGTTCCAGTCGTTACCTGGGGACCCCAGGCTGTAATATTCAGAAAAATTGAAGCTGCGGCGGAATGACAATCTGGGATGAGTGCGGCCCAGGAATGCCAGCCGTTCAGCTTAATGTAAAAACTGTATTACAATTGATAGCATCATTACAATTTCAATCACGTTTTAGAGCAATTTACACGAGAGTAGAACAATTATAACCTGTTTAATCTTGTTCGGCGTCATCGAAAACATAGGGTTACAAGGTTTCCGCTTCGATTTCCATCAATAAAAAATCCTTCTAATTTCGATTCTCTGGGCCAGCTGTCTGCTGGGTTTCAGAAGGTGGTACCAGATGCTGCTATAATTGAGCGCTCAGCTGCTCTAATTGGGTCCAATTACACCCGATACACGATATTATTCCATACAAGGCCTGATCAAGTAGCTTCAGCTCTGGTGACGTCACAAAATCTCCTAGTCGGCATACGACACGTTACGAATGTGATCACGTGCCCGAGGCTTTACGAATCAAGGTCACGTGATAGGATTAGCGGTCACGTGATAGGACTGAATGTCACGTGACCTCAGTTATCCCTTATATGGCACAACTAGCTGCAATTGATCAGCTCTTAATTAGGCTGAAATCCTTGACAGGCCTATAATTACCCAATTTTAAATGAACGATATCTCATCCTACAGAATGATGAGAGCGTAAACAAAATGCTTCCCGGAATCAGCACAATGCAGGGAACAAGATGCTGTTGGAATATCAATTATTCATCTTCCACCCGTAGTCCCTACGAAATTGTAACCGGTCAAAGATCAGCGCGTGTGTGTAATTGTTTTGCGCAAGCGATTTTTGTTCGTGCGCCCTGAAAATCACGTCTAAAAATCTATCTTCTCCTACATTTTTTTAGCAATCACCCTGAAAGGGAACATTTAAAAGAGATGAGCCAGACAGAATTTTAAAATAGGCCTTGTAGGAGAGAATAGATTTTTAGATGTGATTCTCAGGGCGCACGATCAAAAACCGCTCGCGCAATACAATTACACACACGCACTGACCTCTGACCGGCAATAATTTCCGCTAGGAACAACATTTTTCCATGGAACCAAAAACACAGCTGATCATAGCTATCACTTCCCCCTATCAGAAACAACTATAAAGTCAATTTCGAGAGAATTTCTTGTGCTTCCAAGGCATATATCTGGAGATCCAACGATACGATTTTCTTGAAACTTTCTAGATAGTAAGATAGCTTTGAGACAAATAATTTGTGCAAGTTTGGGTGAATTTCTATGTGCCAAATTTGAGATATCACTTCAAACACAAGAAAATAGTGCTGTCGGACAGATGTCGCTGTTACCAATTGCAATTTTAATGAAGACCCCCCCCCCCCCCCCCGCGCCAGCCCCCCGGTCCCCTTAATAGCTCCTTTCACTTTTCATTATTTCAGGATAGAGGGGTGTCCTGAAGCGTTCAACTACACAAATCAGCCATGTGCGTACAGGCGCAGAGCTCAGAACTTCTTTCAGATAGACTATCGTCTCTTGGAAAGTGAAATAAGTGTTTCTCTTTCTTGTGGTAAGAACTCACCCTATTTACTTAGTTTTTTAATTAGTACTGTAATTAAGAACCGACCGGCTAAATATGGTTCCGGCGAGAATTTCAATTAACTTCTGCTGGCAGCATAAATTATTCTTGAATAATCACATCACAAGCTTACATCCAGAAAGTTTAAAATTTCCTCGCAGTTCAATGATTTATGATTCCCCCTAACAATTTTCTTATGCTTTAAAAAAGGTGAGGTCTTCTAAAAAATTTCCTCTTTGGCATCAAATTTCCTCCAAAATTTCCTCGCAGATTACTGCCATCTTTCTGGATGTGAGGTGTTGAGCGATTGTGCGGATGGAAAATCTTAACTTTATTTTAAATACTTGTTTCATTTAATTGAGTATATTATAACTTTTCCATAATGATTAAATAACTACCATATAAAATTCTACATGCTTTGAAAAGTTAATAATAATATCTAGTTATTACCTAAAATATACACATAACATCACACATTTCAGACAACGGACCGGAAATAACAGATTGGCAAGACTTCTCAAAAAGTGACAGTATAAATCTAACAGTCAACATGGAAGAAGTAGAATCATACTACGTCAGATTACCTTGCTACGACTTCATCTCCTTCACACTCTTCCTGTACGCTGGAGATGAACAGAACTCCCAAATTACGCTCTTCAATTATAAAGATAACAGTATTGGTAACATTTACTGTAATGGCGGAGAAAGAACATATTTCACCATTTCTGAGGAGTGGGAGTGCGTGGATGATAAACAGTACATGGTTGTGGAGTAAGAAACAAATTGTTATTTTAACTAGGTACTAAGTTCATGAATTGTCAATAAAACGTATAGCTTGTGTTGTACAATACCGTGCAACTGATAACCGCTAATATAAATTTAAAAGTACCAATTATGATAACTATCATTGAAGCCCGAATATGATATGCTTTACACACAAAAACATAAAACATATTTTAGGGTGGAAAAAACAAACGATCACGTTGCAATAAAGAACAAAGGAAACACCTTGTACAACAAAATATTCGGCTCTGGAGACGAAAACTGTATCAAGACAACTGAAAAAGTTGGCACCCAAGTTTGGGACTACGAAGGTTCCCTCTCCCTTGCCTTTAATTCCACGGAAGGTCCGTATACCCTGTCTATAATGATAATACAAATCTTGAAGTAAATTGTGTGTACTCGCATATCCGATATTATGTAAGTTCTATAATCTAAACACTGTGTGCTTTCCAGAAGCGACTGTCGAAGAGATGCCGAATTATGTTTTCTTTACTTCTGATAACTTGGTAGAAACTTGCGGTCTTAGTTTAGATAAATGGAACGGAATCGTATTCGAAAACTTCGATCCCAGTGATAAATACGGTGCTGGATTAACAGGTTTATAGAAATTATAATAATATAATAATATATTTACATAATATTTGCTCGAATATAATATAACAGGTTTATAAAATATATTTACATAATATTTGCTCGAATATAATATACTATTATATAGTCTTATAGTTAACAGCATATGATATTACGTTAACGTTGATAAATATACATTATAACGATGCAATGTACTTACAACCTGTATCCTGAAATGTTTAAAACTCAAGTAAATATCACACCAAACCATTTAATGATTATTTGTACACTTTTGTTCAAATTTCTCATTTGCTCATATCATCTCTCACAGCCAGCCGCTCTGACATGGTTAACCACCTTCCTTGTGTTGTTGGTTAATCATGAGCGGGATATAAATACCTCATTTCATAATGTAAAGACCATCCCCCAGTTGACTCGAACGAATAACCAACCCCTTCCTACGCTCCTCACCTCTATCAAACCACATTCCGCACCCTAACAACCCACATTCCGCACCCTAACAAACCACATTCCACATTTCTCACAAAGTTTTGTTAACACCAGAGAACATTCATATATTTTGATATTACACTCAATATTCAAATTGGATTCTCTCATAAACTTAATAGGAGCTGATAAATTATTGAGAGAGTAGGAATAGCACAACTATCAAGTATTATGTTTAAAAATGATTAATTATTCAGCTTTATATTCTTAACTTGTAACTATTTGATTTAGTCATTCGGCACATTTGTAATGTGGTAATAATACAGAAGCCAAATAATTTGTTATATTAATAAAAACGGAGCTTATGTACGATCACATGAATAAACATTCCATTCTTGAACTATATACGTCTCATTCATATTTCGATACTGCCCATATTTACTAAGACCCAAAACAGAATACAAACATGCTAATTAATATTCACTCATATTGCAGTACTTTTCGTACATCCATATCAATTCATCACCCGATTATAGTTAATCTAGTTAATGAAGTATAACAGGAGAAACCCACTGAACTAACTATATTCCAGGTGATGATGTATGTCTTAATCATAATATTCATGATATCGATGTTGGTTGGATGTTCTGAACAGGTATGAAAATGTAGAAAGAAAAACCTCTTTAAAAAGTTAAAACTTATTATATACCTTACTCGGGATTATTATGACCGGGATAAAGTGGTGGGTTTAGGGTAATTTCGCCATATTTTTCCCGAACCACATTTTCACCGGTCGTTAATAAACCCGCCTACTCAGCTTTTAGGGTTCCCAAGGGGTATGGGTGCTCATATTTTAATCGTTGTCTTATATTCACTAAAGAAGACTATTGGGACACTTGTTGTAGGTTTTCCGACTTCATTTGGCTAAAATTGCAAAAAATTCACCTTTTTGCCCAATTCTTGTCATATATCCTTATTGTCAAATTTGATTTAAATAGGCCAATTTTTAATTTCTTAGGTATTGACTATCTCCACATAATGAAATAGGACTCAAAGTGAAAGTAACAGTTAAATTAAAACTTGAATTAATTAAAACTGATGAAAGGGATGATCCAGATGAAGATAACGAAGATGATTACAACTTATTGGAAGACTAAACAGCTCTCCCTTTATCTTAATATCGATCTGGTTGTTATATACGCTTCAAATGTTAAAATTATTTTCCATCTAGTTTGATTAACCACGAGTCATTATTTTAGTCTACCTTCAACAATTATTGATAATTCGACTTGTTTCACAAGTTTTAGCAATGCGAAAATTTCTAAACTTGCTTATCTCTAATAAGGAAATTTACATCTGAGACAAAATTTTTGAATCTAAAATTGAAAGGTTGGACACCGGTAAAATGGCGACCGGGAAAATGTGGTGGGTTTTGAGCAATTTCGCCATATTTTTCCCGAACCATATTTTAACCGGTCGTTAATAAACCCGTCGTAATAATCCCGAGTAAGGTAGGCTGTAATGCTGTATTCTAAGCACAAAAATACATTTTTAATACATTTTTAATACATTTTTAATACAAGTTTTATGTGTGGATTTTGTATTTTTAAGCTATTTTGATTTCTGTGATTGTTATGAAATGAATTTTTCGCAGTCGTTTCCAGAATCAGTGCAAGATAAAGTTAATCCCATACCGAATAGGAGACAGCGCAGATATGTAAATGCACAGGAGTACATGAGCGCTGATGATGTACCAAAATACTTGGTAAATATGGATTATGATCAATACTATCCCCGTTAAGAGATATCGATTATTTGCTTACATAACTAAACGATACACTTATTTAATCTTATAATTTTATTACTATGCTACAAATTCAGATTCCCACTCGCCCTTTCAATATATTCTTAATAATCCCAGAATATAATACCATATAATTATATAACAAATAATATAACGACAGGTTAGAATTAACCGTGTAGTAGGCTCGAACACAATTACAATGTGTACGGGTAGTATCATAGCGGCTAACTTGGTACTCACTAGCGGTGGTTGTCTTCATGAAGATTGGGCTACCTTTGATAAGGAGAAACGACTTGTTCCAATCTCGCAAATAGAGGTATATTGAGTGTTTTCCACGTTTATTCGGAATTTAATTTCTTAAATTTTTACGGTTACTTGGGTGGATTAATGTTGTGTTGATCTCTTGTGAGCTGAGGTGTGATCGTTTATCAAGACTCCTTACACTCTTTACTCCTTACACTCCTTACACTCCTTACACTCCTTACACTCCTTACACTCCTTACACTCCTTACTCCTTACACTCCTTACTCCTTACACTGTTTACTCCTTACACTCCATACACTCCTTACACGACTTACTCCTTACACTTGTTAGTCCTTACACTCCTTACTCCTTACACTCATGACTCCTTGCTCTCCTTACTCATTACTCCTTACACTCGTGATTCCTTGCTCTCCTTACTCCAAGTTACTCCTTACACCCATGGGCCATGACTCCTTACTCCTTACACTCCTGACTTCTTACAATCCTGACCCCTTACTCCTTTTAAATGTACGTTACAAATGTTTAAGTAAAGTAAATTTTGAAGGTGGTTGCCGGACGCTACAAGTCGTCAGTGACGAATTCGACAAAGGAGCAGATCCGGTCCCCTTTACAGATGTACATACATCCTGAGCTAAAGATGGTCGATCATAGGAAGATGTGGCAGGTATGATTGATGCTGGGGGGTGGGGGGGAGGGCCGGGGGTGGGGGGGAGGGCCGGGGGTGGGGGGAGGGCCGGGGGTGGGGGGAGGGCCGGGGGTGGGGGGTAGGGCCGGGGGTGGGGGGAGGGCCGGGGTGGGGGGAGGGCCGGGGGTGGGGGGGAGGGCCGGGGGGGGGGGGGTTCTAGAAGGGGAGACGGGAAGCACAGGCTGAGACCTAGCCTTTCACCTTAGTCATTATATTATCTCCTTTTGTTTACTATCTATATAATACAGATTACAGGTTGCATGCTCTGAAATGTGATTAACATTCGGTTTTCAGGGTCATAGCATGGCCTTGATTGACTGTGTAATTTATATGGAAGCTTATTTCCATCAAAATTTCAGAACGATATTGCCATAATTCAAGTTGATGACTTCAAATTTGGCATGGAAACAGATGTCGATAAAATAGAACTGTGGCTGTCACACTTTGCTGTCAATGAGTCGGACTATTACACAACGCTCTGTGCATCAGGTAGATTAATAAGATAGTCTTTATTCGGTTACTGAGATAGTCTTAATTAGATTAATAATATAGTCTTTATTAGGTTACTGAGATAGTCTTAGTTAGTTTAATAATATAGTCTTAATTAGGTAACTGAGATAGTATTTATAAGGCTACTGAGATAGTCCTTATTGGGCTACTGAGATAGTCTTAATTAGGGTCTTTATTTAAAACTCCTCATATTTAAAATACGAACTACGTATAGATATGATATATAAATCCTATCTATCGATAATCTATATAATATATATTATGTATCATGTAATATGCATAAATATGTGTGATGCGCGTTAGCTGATGTTGAGTATGAAATCGACAAGTTTAAGATTGATGGTGATCATGAAGACATAAAGGCGACCCACTTGTGAATATAATTAAAATAAAATAGTTTCGGCTTTTTTCAATAAATGTAATAGATTTGTTGTGTTGGAGGGTTATATTTTTATAAAAATGATACGAAATGTTTGTTAAGCAGGAGCTTTCGAAATATATGTGTGTCTTCAGCTGTAGTGTTGTAATCTATATATATATATAAGATATATAATTTAGAAGATACGATACAGTTCTAGCTATGTTTTTAACCAATTATTTCGAGATACGTTCCCTATTTTCAAAGATAATCTCCGGCCAGCAGCAACTAAATTTTCAGAGTATTTTATTAAGAATGTACTCACACTCTGGCAATTAACCAATTAATAATAATAGAAATCCTATATTATAATTAAATTTTCCAGGATACGGCGACTGGGGCTCCCACAATTCCAAACAATATGACAACCTGTTTGACTCATGGTACCCCATCCAACGTGACTTACCCCAGTATCAGTACCTGGCTTACATTGACGGTGGTAAATGTGACACTAAGAACTCCCATGTTAACGATGTGGAGGATAAAATGGTGACTCATAGACCCAACGCTGTCAACCAGTATTCTGCTAAGCCGTGAGTCGTGCTGCTGAATCCAGAGCTTCAATTGGCAATTTATGGCATGTTTGTGAATGTTATGATCTATGAACAAATTACCCATCACTGCACTGGTCACATTGTTTTCCTGTAATTTTTTCAAAAATGATGAGCTGCAATTTATTTAGTCTAGAAAAAGCTCATGTCAAACTTTCCAGATTGACAGCTAAATTGTGTTTTACTTTCCAGATTGATGACAGCTAAATTGTGTTTTACTTTCCAGATTGATGACAGCTAAATTGTGTTTTACTTTCCAGATTGATGACAGCTAAAAGGTGTTTTTACAAATCATCAGAACTTGGTTTAGTCGGATACATCCCCACTAAAGGTGACCACGGAGGTCCTATAACCTGGACCAGTAAAGACAACAACATTACTTATCAGGTACCCAGCTGTTAATATCAAGTAATTTTTTGGTTTTCAAGTGTGCCTGTTAATTTAAATTTATATGATTATATAACGGGTATGTAGAATAACACAGTCATGTGTTTTACAGGTAATGCTTGTACCGTGGGAACCAGAATCTAAAGCCTCGTTCGAGACGGATATGAACTATGTTCACTGGGGTGAACTGCTTTCCTATTACACAGATTTTATCGGTAAGTTTTAAAATTCTTATCTGTTACACCATTTAACATGTTATATTATAAAATTCTATTTTGACCAAAAGTAATGCTTGACCTCTTGACCTTTATCAAATTTTTATGACCATTTAAAACATTTTATCTGTCGACTGTCAATATTATTCTCAGGAAAGGTATTTGACGCAGCGGCAGCTACAAGCAACGCTGCTCACAAGCCCGAGGCCGAGTTCACAGATTGGACTTCTTTCACTCAGACGGTGTCCCTTAAGTATTTCGGCCACTTTCAGTATTACGCCAACTTCGCAGTGAAACCTATGAAACATGTTCAGGTTAGACTGCAGTGGATGTTTATTGTGTAATATGAAAAAGGGCACTTGATGAATGTATCCATACATAATAATTAATATTGTTTGATGGTTATATTTGGGGGGGGGGGGGGGGGGGGGGATTTCAACAAAACCCTTTAAAATTAAATCTTGTTTAAAAAGAGACTTTTTGGCTATAAAGCGATGTATAAATTTCTAGTTATTATTATATTATTATTAAAGTCCTGAGCTCAGCACAGACCAATCGGCCATCTGCATCACCCCCCTCAGCTCCCCTAATTTGAGCTCAGCACGGACCCATCACCCCCCTCAGCTCCCCTAATTTGAGCTCAGCACGGACCCATCACCCCCTCAGCTCCTCTAATTTGAGCTCAGCACGGACCCATCACCCCCTCAGCTCCTCTAATTTGAGCTCAGCACGGACCCATCACCCCACTCAGCTCCCCTAATGTGAGCTCAGCACGGACCCATCACCCCACTCAGCTCCCCTAATTTGAGCTCAGCACGGACCCATCACCCCCCTCAGCTCCCCTAATTTGAGCTCAGCACGGACCCATCACCCCCTCAGCTCCCCTAATTTGAGCTCAGCACGGACCCATCACCCCCTCAGCTCCCCTAATTTGAGCTCAGCACGGACCCATCACCCCACTCATGACTCAGCTCCCCTAATTTGAGCTCAGCACGGACCCATCACCCCCTCAGCTCCCATAATTTGAGCTCAGCACGGACCCATCACCCCTTCAGCTCCCCTAATTTGAGCTCAGCACGGACCCATCACCCCCTCAGCTCCCCTAATTTGAGCTCAGCACGGACCCATCACCCCACTCATGACTCAGCTCCCCTAATTTGAGCTCAGCACGGACCCATCACCCCCCTCAGCTCCCCTAATTTGAGCTCAGCACGGACCCATCACCCCACTCAGCTCCCCAAATTTGAGCTCAGCACGGACCCATCACCCCCTCAGCTCCCCTACTTTGAGCTCAGCACGGACCCATCACCCCACTCAGCTCCCCTAATTTGAGCTCAACACGGACCCATCACCCCCCTCAGCTCCCCTAATTTGAGCTCAGCACGGACCCATCACCCCCCTCAGCTCCCCTAATTTGAGCTCAGCACGGACCCATCACCCCCTCAGCTCCCCTACTTTGAGCTCAGCACGGACCCATCACCCCACTCAGCTCCCCTAATTTGAGCTCAGCACGGACCCATCACCCCACTCAGCTCCCCTAAATTGAGCTCAGCACGGACCCATTACCCCACTCAGCTCCCCTAATTTGAGCTCAGCACGGACGGCGGACCCATCACCCCCTCAGCTCCCCTAATTTGAGCTCAGCACGGACCCATCACCCCACTCAGCTCCCCTAATTTGAGCTCAGCACGGACCCATCACCCCCTCAACTCCCCTACTTTGAGCTCAGCACGGACCCATCAACCCACTCAGCTCCCCTAATTTGAGCTCAGCACGGACCCATCACCCCCCTCAGCTCCCCTAATTTGAGCTCAGCACGGACCCATCACCCCCCTCAGCTCCCCTAATTTGAGCTCAGCACGGACCCATCACCCCCTCAGCTCCCCTACTTTGAGCTCAGCACGGACCCATCACCCCACTCAGCTCCCCTAACTTGAGCTCAGCACGGACCCATCACCCCACTCAGCTCCCCTAAATTGAGCTCAGCACGGACCCATCACCCCACTCAGCTCCCCTAATTTGAGCTCAGCACGGACGGCGGACCCATCACCCCCCTCAGCTCCCCTAATTTGAGCTCAGCACGGACCCATCACCCCACTCAGCTCCCCTAATTTGAGCTCAGCACGGACCCATCACCCCCTCAGCTCCCCTACTTTGAGCTCAGCACGGACCCATCACCCCACTCAGCTCCCCTAATTTGAGCTCAGCACGGACCCATCACCCCCCTCAGCTCCCCTAATTTGAGCTCAGCACGGACCCATCACCCCCCTCAGCTCCCCTAATTTGAGCTCAGCACGGACCCATCACCCCCCTCAGCTCCCCTAATTTGAGCTCAGCACGGACCCATCACCCCCTCAGCTCCCCTACTTTGAGCTCAGCACGGACCCATCACCCCACTCAGCTCCGCTAATTTGAGCTCAGCACGGACCCATCACCCCCCTCAGCTCCCCTAATTTGAGCTCAGCACGGACCCATCACCCCCCTCAGCTCCCCTAATTTGAGCTCAGCACGGACCCATCACCCCACTCAGCTCCCCTAATTTGAGCTCAGCACGGACCCATCACCCCACTCAGCTCCCCTAATTTGAGCTCAGCACGGACCCATCACCCCACTCAGCTCCCCTAATTTGAGCTCAGCACGGACCCATCACCCCACTCAGCTCCCCAAATTTGAGCTCAGCACGGACCCATCACCCCCCTCAGCTCTCCTAATTTGAGCCCAGCACGGACCCATCACCCCCCTCAGCTCCCCTAATTTGAGCTCAGCACGGACCCATCACCCCCCTCAGTTCCCCTAATTTGAGCTCAGCAAGGACCCATCACCCCACTCAGCTCCCCTAATTTGAGCTCAGCACGGACCCATCACCCCACTCAGCTCCCCTAATTTGAGCTCAGCACGGACCCATCACCCCACTCAGCTCCCCTAATTTGAGCTCAGCACGGACCCATCACCCCCCTCAGCTCCCCTAATTTGAGCTCAGCACGGACCCATCACCCCACTCAGCTCCCCTAATTTGAGCTCAGCACGAACCCATCACCCCCCTCAGCTCCCCTAATTTGAGCTCAGCACGGACCCATCACCCCCTCAGCTCCCCTAATTTGAGCTCAGCACGGACCCATCACCCCACTCAGCTCCCCTAATTTGAGCTCAGCACGGACCCATCACCCCCCTCAGCTCCCCTAATTTGAGCTCAGCACGGACCCATCACCCCACTCAGCTCCCCTAATTTGAGCTCAGCACGGACCCATCACCCCACTCAGCTCCCCTAATTTGAGCTCAGCACGGACCCATCACCCCCCTCAGCTCCCCTAATTTGAGCTCAGCACGGACCCATCACCCCCTCAGCTCCCCTAATTTGAGCTCAGCACGGACCCATCACCCCCCTCAGCTCCCCTAATTTGAGCTCAGCACGGACCCATCACCCCCTCAGCTCCCCTAATTTGAGCTCAGCACGGACCCATCACCCCCCTCAGCTCCCCAAATTTGAGCTCAGCACGGACCCATCACCCCACTCAGCTCCCCTAATTTGAGCTCAGCACGGACCCATCACCCCCTCTGCCCTCAGCTCCCCTAATTTGAGCTCAGCACGGACCCATCACCCCCCTCAGCTCCCCTAATTTGAGCTCAGCACGGACCCATCACCCCCTCAGCTCCTCTAATTTGAGCTCAGCACGGACCCATCACCCCCCTCAGCTCCCCAAATTTGAGCTCAGCACGGACCCTTTTGATTACCGGTCACGTGACTGCGCGCCCTAATTTGAGTGAGATTGCCAGTTCCAAACTAACACTCAACAGGTAAATATAACATTGAGTGGAGAGAACGCAGCCTACACCATGCGAAACAGTGTGATAAACGTGAGGGACATAGACACTAAGAAAGTTCTCCGACAATTTGTAGGGCTTAACAGGACTGTTACTGGTGGGTTGGACTTGAATGGGAATAATAATAAGAATATGCATATTCCTCGTGATATGTTGCGATCACAGGTGTATGTCCCATCAAATAGGACAGCCAGCAATTACACTTTTTAACAACTCTATTTGCCACTCTGAGTTGTGTATCTACCATCCTAGATAAACAATTAGATGATGAAATTATTAACCTCCCAGAGTCCGTGGTAGTGACAGCAGGAAGTGATGGAACTATCGGTGGTAAATGGGGATGTACTCTGAAGGACGGTGAGGGGTACACGGACCCCCCAACTGCTGATCCTGGCGCAAGTAAAAAATGGAAAATAGATTTATTTTTATTCACACTACCCTATATCTAGAAACACCAAACAACTTTGGATGTGAGCATATGACATACTTTTTAACTTGTTAATTTAAATAATTATAAATAAATGACTTACTGACTGACTGACTTAAGTCGGCTTCTTGGTCCGAGCAGCTACAATTCCTCGCCACACGTCGCGGTCAAGCATAACAGATCTTATCTCTTCAACACAGGAAAGGCTGGTGTCCTTCTTTAGCATGTCCAGAAACGTAAGGTGGGGCCTCCCCGGTCTCCTGTATCCATGCTGAGGGTCCCAGAACAGAAGTTGGTTTGCCAGAAGGTCGTCATGCCTGGCTACATGTCCAGACAGTCTCATTCTTCTGGAGGCTATCATCGCTGATGGCTTGGGGATGTTGCCGTATAAATCACTGTTGTTGATGATTTGTGGCCAACGTATGTTCAAGGCCATCCGGAGCATTCTAGTGTAGCATCCATTGATCCGCTTAGTCATGGATTGGCTTATCGTCCAAGCTTCAGAGCCGTACAGGAGTACGGACTCAACCGTTGCTCGAAAGACACGGATCTTTAAGTCCCTGCGCATTCCAGACTTCCAGGTTGTCTTTAACTGATGACAGGCCCCCCATGGTACCGCGACAATTGACCCCCCGACAATTGACCCCCCGACAATTGACCCCCCGACAATTGACCCCCTATGTAATTACACTGGGGTCAATTGTCGCGAAATCTAGGGTTTAGTACGACAATTGACCCCCCGACAATTGACCCCCCGACAATTAACCCCCCGACAATTGACCCCCCGACAATTGACCCTCTATGTAATTACACTGGGGTCAATTGTCGCGAAATCTAGGGCTTAGTACGACAATTGACCCCCCGACAATTGACCCCCCCGACAATTGTAATTAAACTGGGGTAAATTAATCGGGTTAGGGTTAGGGTTAGGGTTGGGGTTAGGGTTAGGGTTAGGGTTGGGGTTAGGGTCAGGGACAGCTGTTCCTGGGTCAGGGTCAGGGTCGGGGTCAGGGTCAGGGTCAGGGTCAGGGTCAGGGTCAGGGTCAGGGTCAGGGTCAGGGTCAGGGTCAGGGTCAGGGTCAGGGTCAGGGTCAGGGTCAGGGTCAGGGTCAGGGTCAGGGTCAGGGTCAGGGTCAGGGTCAGGGTCAGGGTCAGGGTCAGGGTCAGGGTCAGGGTCAGGGTCAGGGTCCGGTCAGGGTCAGAGTCAGGGTCAGGGTCAGGGTCAGGGTCAGGGTCAGGGTCAGGGTCAGGGTCAGGGTCAGGGTCAGGGTCAGGGTCAGGGTCAGGGTCAGGGTCAGGGTTAATTGTATTAAATTATATTTTCGGGGGTCAATTGTCGGGGGGTCAATTGTCGGGGGGTCAATTGTCGGGGGTCAATTGTCGGGGGGTTAATTGTCGGGGGGTCAATTGTCGGGGGTCAATTGTCGGGGGGTCAATTGTCGGGGGGTCAATTGTCGCCCACCCGCCCCCCATGCCTTTGCTTTCCTAACATCAAAGTCCTTCTCCGCACTCATTATTCTGCTTCCAAGGTAAACAAAGTCATCTACTTGCTCTATATCCTGCCCACTTGCTGCTTATAAATAAATAAAACCACATTATTAACAGCTCCTACTGTATTGGGTGATTACACAACCGATGGGACTGAAAGTGAACCAGAGGAAGTGAGTGAGGACACTTACACCTGTATAGATGCTCCAGGTAATGAAATTTGCTAAGCAAAATTCAGGTTGTGGCCACCAAAATACTGGAGAGGGATGCTCTGTTGTTAATTTGTTTATAAAATATAGTATAGTGCTATGTTAAAAGTACACAAAATCGTCCATCTAGTTTGACAACTTTTTCATATCTATTATATATATTATTTTCTCATTCACTTTCCCATGCAGTGAACTCAGAGGGTGGCGAACTCAATACACCATCTAGTTTTGTTCTAAACAGTAACTGGGAAACTGTTTTCTTTAACTCGACTGCTGGGAAATCGTTTGAAATTGAGTTCTGGATAAACAGACCTTCACACTCAGCTGATAAGGTCTCGTCAGATCACTTTCACTTTCACTTTCACTTTGATTAATTCTCTTTCTGCTTTAGTCGGTACTTAATTAACTTCTAACTTTGGTTGAAACTTTAAAACTGTCCATTTGATTGTTGACTGGAAGTGATTAGCGATTGGGTGATTTTTAGGGTACGGTGACACTGAAGGTTGACTATATTTACCTCGACAAAAATAAATACGTGGAAGAAGTTGAAGATCTTTGCGATTCAGGGTGCGTTACAGTTCGTTACAGTTCGTTACAGTGCGTTACAGTTCGTTACAGTGCGTTACAGTGTGTTACAGTTGTTGTAGCGTTACAGTTGTTGTAATTTTGGTGTAAAACTTTGTTTATTTCAAACTAAAAATAGATCTTAAGGCTGAGCGTGAGTTTGAGACGAATTTAGCTTTCATTTTAGACTTCACGTCTCCCGAAATAAAACTGCGAACAAAGTGAAACAAGGAACTAAGTAAACTTTAAAACCAAATTTTCGTCACACATTGGACTTTTTCAAGGTTCCCCTCTTGATAAAGTCCAATGCGTGACGAAAATTTGGTTTTACAGTTTACTTAGTTCCTTGTTTCACTTTGTTCGCAGTTTTATTTCGGGAGACGTGAAGTCTAAAATAAAAGCTAAATTCGTTTATTTCAAACTATAAAAGTATAACATTATCATTGGAGCACTCTTTAATTATAAGTTCGTTTGCATTGTACTGCATAACCAAATAAAATTATGTTAGATTTTAATTCCACTCTTATCTCAGTTTAACTTTTCACTTGCAGGCATATTATGTGCGTTGACGAACTCAGCTGTATCAATCCGGAACATGTTTGTGATAATGATCCCGACTGTTATGATAAAAACGACGAGACTTCCTGGTGTCTAGACAGACCTTGTCTTTACTCACAATACCAGTAAGTTAAATTATTTTTACTCACAATACCAGTAAGTAAAATTACTTTTATTGACAATACCAGTAAGTTTAATTAATAATACCGGGCCGGTTAATACAGGAGGTGACTGGGATTCCCGGTTGCAGCTTTCAATATGAGAATACCAGTTTTGGTCCCGGTCATCCCGGTCATCCCGGTCAAATCCCGGTAATTGTTGGTCCCGGTCCCGGTAAGATAGAAATCCCAGAAATTATTGGTCCCGGTCCCGGTCCCGGTCCCGGTAAATTGATAATCTCAGTCCTGGTCCCGGTCCCGGTCCCGGTCAAGTCACATTTTGTATCCCGGTCCCGGTCCCGGTCCCGGTCCCGGTCAGGCCTGAAATCATGTCCCGGTCACCTCCTGGGTTAATAATTAATTGTTAACGAGCGAGGGATGTTTTTCTAGCATCTTATTTTCACTACTCTATTTTGGCTCTAGTGGAGCTAATGGTTGTTTTAAAACTCAAGTAAGAGTAAGACCTCGTTAATTAATTCACACATATTATATGTGATTATTTTTGAAATAATATTAATACAATTTTCCATCTCAACTGAGGTAAAACAAGAACTTGTTGCAAAAATCAATAAATTAATTAAATAATAAACCGTCAGCACTTGTATTATCACTTTAGAAGTTGTTCTGGGTGACTGAGAATTTCAGTGAACTGAGTCTGAAAAAAAAACTACATAAAACTAAACAACATCAAAATAAGAGTAATTTTTGAGCAGAAATTTTAACACATAATAATTATATTTTGACGATAATTAACTTTAATTTGAAGAATGATAACTGAAAAATATTTGATTGGTAAAACTTATTATCGGGTAAAAATGGGATGGCAGAAATGTTGATAGATAACAAATTTGAGTGGCTAAAACTATGTGTGCACCGATTGTTTACACTGACCAAATTTCAGCCGTCAAGGTACATAATTATAATAACAGTTAACATACGTGAAATACCTGTCCTGTACTCACTCATAATCATAATGTACAGTGTAAGTAATAAGTAAGTAAGTGTACACAAACTTAATAAACTTAATGAACACTTTAAACAATAAACAATATTAAGTATTATTTAGTGTTGTTTAGCGACCATATAATCAGTAACATTGTAAGCTATATGCCGCTCTGCAAACTTCCAGTCTGTAATGTCACGTAACCATTTCTTTTGCCACTTCCACACACCTACCACAGTTACTTTGTTACCAGCAGCTGTGTGTCCTGACATAGTATTATACATGAACATTTCATGTGCGGAGATAATATCATGGAAATGTACTCCAGTGTCTTTGTAATACTCACTGTTTGTACAAAGTTCTGTTACCGTCAGGTTACCGTCTGGTTTAGTTCTTCTCAAGATAAAACCACATTTACATGTCTCTGTGCAGGTTCCTGTACCAGGGTGTTTAAAGGTATACAGGGTTTTCCACTCCTTATCTTCTGTTACTGTAATGAATTTATCACGTTTTATGATAACGTTCTGATGACATGTGGTGAGCTTATCATTACTCTTAATCTTATTGAGCATATTGATAATATCATCAGACTTTGCAAGATTGGAATAGTTTAAGGCAGCTATAATGGTATCTAAGTATTCGCCTGATATTTTTTGTAGCCTTTTGTCGCTGCAGAGGTTCTGAAGTGAAGCTAAAAATGTCATTGCCTCTTCTTTATCGGGTGTGTTTTTGTAGAAACGTAAAGCAATTGCTCGACCACCAGGAACATCGTTGTAACACGATCTTCAGAAATTTCCTTTATAATCTCATTCGTTTTTGTGCATCTACTAATTTGATTGATATATTTCTTATCATCATAAACCACATGCACCAACGATTTCGTTTTCTTTCTCTCTCTACGACTGGTGACCAATCTTGAAGTATCCGACATCAATCTTAAAGAAAACTGCATATCAGCAACTGATATTTCAGGTAAATTCGATATATCCTCAAAAACATGATGAAAAAGTTCTTCATTCCGTTCACTACAGAACGCGAGGTTCATTTTTTGAAGGAGATACTTAATCTTGTCTTGAAGTTTTCTTTGTCCGATCAAATTCTGCGTTATAGTTTGAAGAAACAGATCAGAGTTACTTCCTCCCAATGTCAACATCAGATCTATTTGCCCTTCCTCCAGTCTGTAAACATCCGACATATACTCGGAGATGAATGCTGAATTGTCCTGGACCACTAGACAGGACTTTAACTCGTTCAACATATCTTTATCCTCCCACTTTATAAAGATGTACCAGCTCTCATTCAATGTGAATGTCTTGTCTGCAGTTCCTGCAGCCGAGATGATTCTGCTCCTCAACCAACTAATACAGCTTCCCTTTAACCACTCAACTTCGAATACTCTGGAAAGTTTATGTATCTCTTTGTACATATGATCTTCAATCTCTACAAACTGTTTGTCCTCTAGTAAGGTTAAAAACAAGGTCACAGCTTCTGGTGTAAAGTCGTCAAATTCAAGCTCATCATACTTCAGCTCTTCTATTAGGTAACGAAACATACGACTTTCAACTGTGAGTCGTTCTTTTGAGACCAGCAAAGGATCTCCGTCTCTTATCTTGATTACAATATTTTGTTCTTCCATGGTCGCCTGTTAGAAATATTGTTAAATTCCAGTTTCTAATAATAAAACAAATTTAATAAAACAAATATTTATTTTTACGGCACAATCAAACAATGCAATACCCAGGTCAAGATTAAGGCGAGACTGTGAGTTAGGCTTATCGCACAAAATTTGTAAATAAACACAGAAAAAATGTAACAAGGTGTCCTTTTTCAGCATTACAGAATGAGCAGAAACGCGCGATTATATATAAATATTACTTAACTAGATATTTGATCTCGTGGCTTTGATGCAGATGGTTAGTAGGTCTGGTCCCAATTTGCAGATCGAGGGTTCGAATCCCGTCGAAGATAATTTTACGTACACTTTTTTTGGCAATAATGAAGAACTGATTATTCCTCGGTAATATAATCAGTAAAGCATAATACAGTAAGGTACGGGATTAAGGGTGACACATTTTTCGGCCGTTTTAAATATATATATATATATACTCTTTCCATACTGGACACCTAGTTAAGTCACTTTTAAACTTTATGCCACGGGGATTTTCATGGTCATTGATATTTTGGTCTTGATTGTTTTCAATTACTGCCAGAGTTACATCTAACAAGCCAGCGAGACCGATTTAATGTTAACATTTAACATAGCCAGCTCCAGGTTTCTTGTATGCAGGTCTAGCTTAGACAGTACAGAAAATATTGTAGCCACAAGTTATTATCCTTGACTATATTGACCTGCTAACTTTTAATACCCAGGATATGCTCATACAATCACTTTGTACAAAATAAGTACTTTTCGTCACTGCACGTTACACGTGACAATCGCACTAAGAACCCTTACAAGGCGAGGTTCATTGCAGGTGCCCGTTTTTGCGTTACGAAACAACTTAACGTCCAAGTTAACTGTTGTCTGAAACTTTTGAGGAAATACTTCAAGAAATACTGCGAGGCAATCTACAACAACAGCGGTATAAACATGTTTTGGAGCATAGATTCCTCAAGTGAATTCCTTGAAGCTATCAAAAATAGTGATGTTTATAATATACAAGTATATGATTTTACTACTCTTTATACCAGATTAGACTTGATTGAAGTAGAGAATATGATTAATGAAGTTGTTGATTTAATATTTTCAGACCGTAATAGATATATTTGTATTTCTAAAAGAGACAGTAATACATGTTTCTTTTCCAATAAAACCTATGATTCTCATGCCTGCTTTAGTCAAGATGACCTAAAAGAGGCTGTTAAATTTATTATTTATAACACTTATGTCGTCTTCGGTGGGATTGTATTCATACAAACTAATGGTATTCCTATGGGTGGAAATTCAAGTTCCCCTATAGCTGATCTCACTGTTGGCAAAAAGGAATTTAATTATATGAAACGTTTACTTCAGGAAAAGAAAATGGGATTAGCAAAGATATTATCCAATAATGAACGATATGTTGACGATTTATCTATTATTAACTACCTTTACTTTCATCAATTGATTAAAGATATTTATCCTAATTCATTGGAGATGGAGCGAGCTGGTTCCAATAATAAAATCATTAACTACCTTGATTTAAATATTAATATTTCCACAGAAGGACTAGAAATATCAGTGTATAACAAAACTGATGATTTTAATTTTCATGTTGTATCCCTTACATTTCCTCACAGTAACATCCCAACCGAGGTTGGCTACAACGTTTTTTCAAGTCAAGTTCTTAGATATGGTAATGTTTGCACTAGATTGGATATCTTTACCTCCCATCTTCACAAAATATTCAAAATTCTAATTGATAGAGGATATAGCCGTGATAGACTGATTAAAGGCATTAAACGTTGTCTGAGGAAATATGATAACGTTTTCAGGAAGTTCGGTATTCTAGATGACCATAACATTATTAAAGAACTCCCCTGATATCTTTTGATTTATTGAAACACGGGTACTAACTCTGCTAAACTGAACAAATTCTGAAACTTAGGTGAATAAGTGTACAACGTGCTAAACCGAAGTTCAGACTGACCAGTGAAAATGGGCGAGCGTACCAAGTGTCATTTTAATTAGAAGTTTTAGTCAGTGATTTATTATTGAAGCTTGTAATTACAATATCTAATGCTCCTATAATTACTTTAATTAATTGTTTGTTCCGTTATTCTTTTTCCTTCCTCTTTTCCTTGTCATCCCCTTTAGTTTTAAGATTCTTGCTATAAATGGCTACAGCTAACACTATTAATGCTAAGTACCAAACAACAAGTGGGAGGTGGATCGTTGGTATACCATTAAATCGATTTAACACCGCAATTCCAGTCGCAAGCCTGGGACCACTACTAGCATTGTCACAACATCTACAAAGCTGCCATATAGCCTGACTGACAATTTTCTCGACTGACTGACAATGTTTCTTCTTTTCCCCATTTA